TCCACAGGCTGATGCTCTAGCCACTGAGCCAAACTGGTCATTTCCTTTAGATCTCTGTTCAAAAATCACCTTATCAGGGAATTTCTCCAACACCCTGGTAAAAGAGCAATCATCATTCAAACCAGGCATTTCCTATCCCCCTTTATCCTGCTCTATTTTTCTTTACAGCACTTATCACCATCTAACATTTGACTTGGTCCCTTTCTTCCATTAGAATATAAGCCACAGATGAAGCTAGCAATCAATAAAAGGAAAACTGGAAAATTTACAATTTTGTGAAAATTAAACAACACTGTTAAATAACCACGGGATAAAAAAAGAAATCATAAGGGAAGTTGGAAAATACAAATGAATAAAAATAAAAACACAACATATCAAAAGTATGGAACAATGAAAGCAGTGTTAAGGGGAAAATTTAAAGCTACAAACGCTTACATTAAAAAACAAGAAAGATCTCAAATCAACCACCTAACTTTATAACATAAGAACCTAGAAAAAAAAGAACAAAGAAACCCAAAGCTAGCAGTACAGAAATAATAAAGATTAAATAAAATAGAGAATAGAAATGCAGAGAAAAATCAATGAAATCAAGTTAGTTCTCTGAAGGATCAACAAAACTGACAGACCTTTAGTTACACTTAGAAAAAAAAAGACTCAAATTACTAAAATCAGAAATGAAAGTGGGGCAATTAGTACCAATTCTAAAAGGATTATTCAGAATACTATGAATAATTGTATGCCAATAAATTGGGTAACTAGATGAAATGAACAAATTCCTAAAAACATAAAACTTACCAAAGCTAAATCATTAATAGAAAATCTGACTAAATCTATAACTAGTAAGGAGATCACATCACTAACAAAAAAAATCTCTTGACAAAGAAAAGCCCCAGACCTGACTACTTCACTGGTGAAGTTTACCAAACATCTAAGAAGAACTAATACCAATCCTTTCCAAACTTTTCCAAAAAATCTCAAAAGGATAAAACATTTCTTTACTCTTTCTTTGAAGCCAGCATTATCTTGATGCCAAATCCTGGTAAAGACACTACAGGAAAAGAAAACTACAGACTGCTATCTCTTATAAACATTAATGCAAAAATTCTCAACAAATACAAGCAAATGAAATCCAGCGGCATACTGAAAGAATTATACACCACGACCAAATGGGATTTATTCCTGAAATGCCAAGATGGTTCAACATACAAAAACTGGTTAATGTAATACACCACATTAACAGAATGAAGAAAAGAAACTGCATGATCATCTCAATTATTGCAGAAAAAGCATTTGACAAAAGTCAACATCCTTTCATAATAAAAACACTCAATACATGAGAAGCAGAAGGAAACTACTTCAACATTAAAAAAACACACACTATACATGAAAAACCGCAGACAACATCATACTCAATGGTAAAAGACTGAAAGGTTTTCCTCTAAGCACAGGAACAAGGATGCTTGCTTTTGCTACTTCTATTCAACATAGTACTAGATATTCTAGCCAGAGCAATTAGGCAAGAAAAAGAAACAAAGGTATTCAAGTTAGAAAGGAAGAAGTAAAATGATCTCTGTTCACAGATATTATATGTAAAAAAACATTAAGAACTAAAAAATTGCTAGAACTAATAAACTGAGCAAAGTAGGAAGATATTAAGTCAATACACAAGAATCAGTTGTATTTTTAGAGACTGACAATGATCAAAGTGAAAAGAAAATTAAAATATTTAGGAATTAATCAAGAATGTGAAAGACCTGTACAATGAAAACTAAAAAAGAAAAAATTGAAGAAGGAAATTAAAAGAAGACATAGGTAAAGAGAAACACACCATATTCATGTATTGGAAGATGATATACATTGATTGGCCAGATTATTATGACCACCCCATCAGTACTTCACTGGGCCACCTTTTGCCTTCAATACTGCCGCGATTCTTCTTGGCATTGACTCCACGAGATGTTGAAAGGTGATACGAGGAATCTGACACCATGCCTGATGAATAGCACTGTCCAATTCTATGAGATTTGGTGGTTGTCGAAGCAGCTGCCTGATGGCTCTTTTAACTTTGTCCCACAAATGCTCAATTGATTGAGATCTGGTGATTGTGGGGGCCACCTAAGGTTTCTGCCAAATTCTCACTCTGCCATCTGCATGATGCAACTGCATCGGACCACATGACTTTTTTCCAATGCTCAACTGTCCAATCCTTGTGTTTCTGTGCGATTTGGAGATGTTTTATCTTGGTAACTGCCGACAGCAAAGGTGTTCGAACAGGCCTTCAGCTTCCATATCCCATACGATACAGTGTATGGCGAACAGTGCATCATTTGAGAGGATCCCTGATTAAGATCTGCAATAATTTGATGCACTGTTGCCCTTCTGTTGTCTTGTACCAGTGTTGCCACTCTCCGTTCTGCCCTAACATTGACTATTCACTGACCGCCACAATTGACACGTTCAGACCCAGATTTTCAGCTGACAGTCCAGTCTTTAAACACTTTAGCAACAGCTGCTCTTGAACATTTAACGAATTCAGCTGTTTTGCTGATACTTGCTCCATGGCTCCAAGCACCAACAATCACCCCACATTCAAAGGCTGTTAAACCGCATTGTTTACCCATATCTTCAGAAAAAAATCACTCCTATTGTTGTGGTAAACAACCTGCTTCCCTATTTATAATGGTCTGGCTCTCTAGCAACTTCAGCGCGAGATTATAGCTAATTTGCCTACAAATGTCAGGTGGTCATAATAATCTGGCCACTCAATGTATTTTTTCAATTACAGTTTACATTCGATATTATTTTGTACAGTATTAGTTTCAGCTATCTCTATATATAAAAGCCTAAGGGTAATTATGACCAGATGATGGGATGGTAGCTATGACGTGCACTGACCACCAGGGGGCAGATGCTCAATGCAGGAGCTGCCCCCTGGTGGTCAGTGTGATCCCATAGCCAACCTCCCATGGCTGGCCAACCTCCTGCAGTCCCTCCCCCTGGCCAGCCTGCCCCAATTAGCCCCAATCGCCAGCCAGGCTGAGGGACTCCAACCATGCACAACTTCGTGCACCAGGCCTCTAGTACAGTAATAATGGTTATACAATCATACTTTACAAAGTGGTCCTATCAATATTTTAAGTACTCATCTGGCACCATACATAGTTACTACAATATTATTGACTATACTAGAGGCCTGGTGCAGGCATTCGTGCACTGGTGGGTCCCTCAGCCTGACCTGCACCCTCTCACAATCTGGGACCACTTGGGGGATGTAGCAGTGCATGAAGTGGCAAGCAGCCAAGGAGGAGCCTGAGCCAGGGCTGGCATTTCGCCACTCCTGCTCATCCCAGCCCCGCTCTACCTGCTGCTTGGTAGTGCTGCCATGGAGGTGGGAGAAGGTCCCACCACTGCAGCTGCACTCACCAGCTATGAGCCCGGCTTCTGGCTGAGAGGTGCTCCTGCTGTGGGAAGCACACTGACGACCAGGGAGCAGCTCCTGCGTTGAGCATCTGCCCCCTGGTGGTCAGTGCATGTCATAGCGACCAGTCAACGATCACTTCGGCTTTTATATACATAGATATATACATAGATTCCCTATGCTGTACTTTACATTCCCATGACTATTTTGTGATTACCAATTTGTACTTCTTAGACCCTTCACCTTTTTCACCCAGGCCCCCAAACACCCTCCCCTCTGGTGCCCATCAATTTGATCTCTATCTATGAGTCTATTTCTATTTGTTTTTTTCTTTAGATTCCACAAATAAGTGAAATCATATGATATTTGTCCTTCTCTGACTGACTTATTTCACTTAGCATAGTACCTTCTAGGTACGTCCATACTGTTGCAATTGGTACTTTAATAATTATTTTTTAAATACTCACCTGAGGATATTTTTTATTGGTTTTAGAGAGATAGGAAGGGAGGGAGAGAGAGAAAGAAACATCGTTGTGAAGAGAGAAACACTGATTGGTTGCCTCCTGAATGCAATGTGATCAGGAGGTATGCACCCTGGAACCTAGGTATGTTCCCTGTACAGGAATGGAACCTGCAACCTTTTGGTGTATGGGATGATGCTCTAACCAATTGAGCCACCCAGCCAGGGCCCTCTTTGCCCATTTTTAATATTTTTTTAAAAAATCCTCACCTGAGGATATTTTTTTCCATTGATTTTCAGAAAGAATGAAAAGGAGGGGGGAAGGAGTGGGAGGGAGGAGGGAGAGAGAGAAAAAAACATCAATGTGAGAGAGACACATCGAATGGTTGCCTCCTGCATGTGCCCTGACTGGAACGAGGATGGAACCTGCAACCTAGGTATATGTGTCCTTGACCAAAATTGAACCCGTGACCCTTCCGGATACAGGCCGACACTAACCACTGCATCATGTTGGCCAGGACTGCCCATTTTTAAATTGTTTTATTTTGTCTGTGTGTGTGTTGGATTGTATGAGTGCTTTATAAATTTTAAATATTAACCCCTTATTGGATGTATTCTGGTGAATATCTTCCATTTAGTAGGTTGTCTTTTTGTTTTGTTGATGGTTTCCTTTGCTGTGCAAAACATGTACAGTGGGGCCTTGATTTACGAGTGTCCCGACTAACGAGTTTTTCGAGATACGAGCCGTCTCTCGGCCGATTTTTGCTTTGAGTTGCGAGCTAAAATTCGGGTTACGAGCCAGCTTCAGATACCACACCGCTAGTTGGCGCAGCCAACGTTACAGTGAACGCCACAACATCAGCCCAGCATCACGTGTCTCACTTGTTCACTTGAATGATTTGACATGTACGAGTAATCTGAGTTACGAACTCGGTCACAGAACAAATCAAGGCCCCACTGTAGTTCCATTTGTTTATTTTTCTTTTGTTTCCCTTGCATGAGAAGATTTATCAGAAAAAAATACTGCCAAGAGAAATGTCAGAGATTTTACTGCCTATGTTTTCTTCTAGGAGTTTTATGGTTTCGAGTCTTATATTTAAGTCTTTAATCCATCTTGAGTTTATTTTTATATATGGTGTAAAAGGTGGTCTAGTTTCATTTTTTTTGCATCTATTTGTCCAATTTTACCAACACCCTTTATTGAATAGACTGTCTTTATCCCATTGTATGTTCTTGTCTCCTCTGTCAAATACAGGGTGTCCCCCAAAAATGTATACACACTTTAACAGCTGATAGCTCAATTTTGAAAATGAAATGTATTTTAATAAACATTGCCTTTGTAATTTTTCAAAATGTGTGTATACATTTTTGAGAACCCTATATTTACTAACCATAATAGGCATAGGTTTATTTCTGTTCCATTGATCTATATGTCTGTTTATATACCAGTACCATGCTGTTTTGATTATTATAGCTTTGTAGTATAGTTTTATATCAGGTAGCATAATAACGTCCAACTTTATTCTTCTTTCTTAAGATTGCTGTGGCTATTCAGGGTATTTTGTGATTCCATATAAATTTTTGGATTACTCTCATTGTTCTTGGTACCAGATGATGCCAGCAAGTAAAAGTTGCTAAGTGTTGCTTTTAGAGAGAAAATAAAATGCACATTAGGTCTCAGCATGATTTAAGCAAAGTGCTGAGTTCAGTATTTTTAAAATAGACTCACCATAGGGACAGGATGGGAAAAGTGTCAGAATCATCTGTGAATCTACATGTTTACTAATTATGATCTTGACTGTAGTTTTCATCTGCTGGTTTTGCTAAACCTCCAGACATTAAAAAAGAATGTGCCGATTAGCAGGTATGACCCCCCCCTCCCCCCGCCCCACCCCAGCTGTCTCCACCACTGGCAGTGGGGGACTGAAGAGTGTAGACTTGTTTAAGACATTTTTTAAGGTTCTCCTCAACTGTCCACACTGTACATTGATTTTCTGTCATAGCTCTATGCCTGGGGGGCTGCATCTCTTCATTAATTCACAGAGAGCATTCTTAGTGCATCAAAGAGATGCAGGAGGTGAGACTTAGACGGAAAGATAGAAACAACACTTTTAGGGCTGGACACGGCTCAGCAGTGTAAAAGTCACACACACACACACAATAAAAATAAATAAATTTTTGGATTACTTCTTTTAATTCTGTGAAATATGCTACTAAGTATTAAGATAGAAACTGCAATGAATCTACAGATTACTTTGAGTATTTTACATTTTAATGATGTTATTCTTCCCATCCATGAGCACAGTATATACTTCCATTTATTTGTATCTTCTTTCAATTTTGTGCTCCACTGTCTTATAATTTTCTGAGTATAGGTCTTTTACCTCCTTGATTAAAAGTTTCCTACATATTTTTAATGCAATTATAAATGAGATTGTTTTCTTAGTTTCCCTTTCTGCTAGTTCATTATTGGTGTATTAAAATGTAATTGATTTCTGAATATTTATTTTGTATTCTACTACTTCACTGAATTCATTGATCAGTTCTAGTAGTTTTTTAGTGGAAACTTTGGGGTTCTTTATATACAGTATCATGCCATCTGTATATAACAACAGTTTTTCTTCTTCCTTTTCAGTTTGGATGCCTTTTATTTCTTCTTCTTATCTGACTGCTGTAGCTAGAACTTCCAGTAATGTTGAATAAGAGTAGTGAAAGTGGACAGCCCTGTCTTGTTCCTGATTTTAAGGAAAACACTTTTAGTTTTCTCATTAAGTATGAGGTTGGCTGTAAGTTTGTCATGTAGTCATACATGGCCTGTATTATGTTGAGGTATGTTCCCTCTATTCCCACTGTGCTGAGAGAGTTTATCATAAACTACAGGCCTGGTGCATGAATTCGTGCACGGGTGGGGTCTGGCCAGCCCCGCCCCTGATCAGTGTGTGTGGGGGTCGATCAGGGGTGGGGCCGGCTGGGGGCAGGGACCCCAGAAGTTGGTGGGCCACCCCCACACTCTGGTCAAACTCTGGTTGAAGGGACAATTTGCATATTACCCTTTTATTATAGAGGGTGAGTATTGGATCTTCTAAAATGCTTTCCAGCATCTATTGATATGATCATATAATTTTTTTAAATGGGGATTGTACCATCTTACAGACCATGCTGTCATTTTTTTTGGTTTGTTTTTTGTTTTTAATATATTTTTATTGATTTCAGAGAGGAAGGGAGAGGGAGAGATAGAAACACCATTCTTTCTCAATGATGAGAAAGAATGATTGATTGGCTGCTTCTTGCACACCCACGACTGGGGATCCAACCAGCAACCCGAGAATGTGCCCTGACCAGGAATCAAACCGTGACCTCCTGGTTCATAGGTCAATGCTCAATCACTGAGCCACATTGGCTGGGCTGAACATATAAATTTTATCCTTCATTTTGTTTATTTGGTATAACACGTTAATTGATTTGTGAATATTGTATCAACCTTGCATCCCAGGAAGAAATCCCACTTGATCATAGTGTATGTTCTTTTTAATGTATTACTGAATTCAGACTGCTAATATTTTGTTGAGCATTTTTTCATCTATGTCCATCAGGGATATTGGCCTCTAATTTTCTTTGTAGTGGGAAGACTTAATATTTAAAGATGTCAAGCCCTAGCTGGTTTGGCTCAGTGGATAGAGCGTCGGCCTGTGGACTGCAGGGTCCCAGGTTCGATTCCGGTCAAGGGCACATGCCCAGGTTGCAAGCTCGATCCCCAGTAGGGGGCGTGTAGGAGGCAACCAATCAATGAGTCTCTCTCATCATTGATGTTTCTATCTCCCTTCCCCCTCCCTTCCTCTCTGAAATCAATAAAAATATTTTTAAAAAATAAAAAAAAATATTCAATAGCACTAATCATTAGAAAAATGCAAATCAAAACTACAATATACCACCCACTTCATACTCATTAAGATAGTTACTATAAAAAAATAGAAAATAGCAGATGTTGGTGATAAAATGGAACCATTATACACAGTTTGTAGGGAATGTAAAATTGTACAGTCATTGTGGAAAACAATATGGTGATTCCTCAAAATATTGAAAGTAGAATTACCATATGATCTGGCAATCCCATCTTGGGGTATATAAACGAAGAATTAAAAGCAGATATTTGTACACCTATGTGTGTAACAATTTATTCATAATAGCTAACATGAAAACTGTTACCTAAGGAAATGTGATAAATGCAAACAATGGAATATTAGTCAGCCTTCAAAAGGAGGAAAATTCTGACATATGCTGCAACATGGATGAACCTTGAGAACATTATTCTGTAAGCAAGTCACAAAAAGACAAATATTGTATATTATATAAGGACTTATAGTAGTCAAAATTATAGAGACAAAATATAGAATGGTGGTTACCAGGGGCTAGGGAGCAGGGAAAATGCAGAGTTAATAGGTATAGAGTTTCAGTTCTTGAGATGGATGGATAATAGTAACAAAACATTATTAATGTATTTAAATCACTGAACTGCACACTTTAACCTGGTTAAGATGGTAAATTCTGTGCATTTTACCACAATAAAGAAAAAGAATGTAAGGCACAGAGAAAGGGTTTTGTTAACATTATTTTTTCAGGGCTTGGGAAGTCTCTTGTATATAGGAGACACTCAAAATAGCTGCTAAAATATAAATCAATAAAAACTACTAAATACTCCAGGACATCTTCTCATAAGTCCTAAAGTAAATAAAACAAATTATAAAGCTTGAGTTACCTGTTTCTTTGAAAAGCTTTCATTAATTTTGGTTCCCATGGCAGCAGTTCATTTAAAAGACGTATCAATGTACTATGCAATTCTTTTACAGCTTGCCTCCGATGATACCATTTACCCTAAAAACACAATTTTAAAAGTAAATCCCTTAGATTTAATCTAAAAATGAATGTCAACCCTTATTTTCTGAGTAAAAACCAAAACACCAATATCCATGAAATAAGTATGTCTTCTAGACGATTGCAGAAAGGGGGATGTATCCTGTAATAAACCTTATTTGATATATTGTCATCATTTTCAATACTGCAATGCTACATTGAATTAATAATTACTGACACCCCTCCATTTGCTAATAAGCATTACTCAAAAGCATTTCATTCATATATGGGGGGGGGGGGATGGGAAGAAGGGACAGATGGAGTGAGTATGACAGCGCATACGAACTCTAGCTGTATGAAAACCCTTCTGAGGTATGTGCACTTTAGCCTCACTTAACAAATGATAAATGTTTTTAAGGTCCTATAAGGTGAACTCGCATCAGCCTGATGTTGAAGTTCAAGTTCTTAAAATTATATCACTATCTCTTAAAAACTGTATCATATAAATTCAATCTGACATAGGTTATAAAAACCTCTAATAAAGATATGTTTTAATAGTACCCATAGAATTATTCAAGTTATATCTCTAGGTAGCTTATACCCTATTCTCCATAATGTTAGTGTACATCTATCAACATCACCACCACCATCATCATCTACTGTTATATAAAAGACTGTTATTTTCGCCCTAACCATTTGGCTCAGTGGATAGAGCATCGGCCTGCGGACTGAAAGGTTCCAGGTTTGATTTTGGTCAAGGGCATGTACTTTGGCTGCGGGCACATCCCCATTAGGGGGTGTGCAGGAGGCAGCTGATAGATGTTTCTCTCTCATCGATGTTTCTAACTCTCTATCCCTCTCCCGTCCTCTCCGTAAAAAATCAATAAAATATATTTTTTTAAAAAGACTGTATTTTCTTTTCTTTTTTGGGGGGGGAGAGGGCGGGGCACGGAGTGTAACAGGTTTGAGATATAATTCACATACCATATAGCCCATTTGTTTTATTTTTTTAAATAACAAAATACACACTACTATATATGTTATGGATCATATTTAGCATGTAAATAATTAGATTTCATCCCATAGCAACCATTGAACCAATTGCACATTTGTAGAACATTAAGGCAGAAAAATTACCACTCCCTAAAGCAAAATGTATTCTAAATCTGTGCATAAATTTCCCAATTGTGTATGTATCTAAAACCTTCAAGATTTCAGTCATGGAAATTTTAGTCGCATATAAACCTAAGAGATTAAGTGCACAGTTCCTATTCTCAAAAATTTTTGTATTTTAAACCAACAGAATGTCTATGTACATAAAAATATTAAATAACTACAGTATATTTTTACCACTGACGTTTTTTTAATCTTAAAAATATTAATCTTCCTGTTTATTAAAAATAGGAAGATGTGGGATTTCATGTGCACGTGCACATAAACAGGCTCACTCATTCTTGTGTCTTCTTAGTGGCATGATAAATCATAGCATTATGAAAAAAATTCAAAAAAATTACTTTATTTCATAATATGCTAATGTAGATATATCTTCTCTCTTGTCAAATACTTTCAAGTTAACAATAATTACTACCTCAAAAGTTCCCCTCAAAAGGAATGTTATGAAATAGTATGAAGTGCTTATTCTAACTCATGAAAACAAACTATATATATAAAAAGCCAGTGACCACAATGGCCATAACCATCATAAGGACCAGTTGCTATTACAACCACCGTGGCCAGCAAACCTGGCCAGATAAGGGGGTGGGGCCGGCTGGCCAACCTCGCAGCCCCTCCCCACTGCCGGCCTGCCCCTGATCGGACTCTCCCACCTGATCAAGAGTGGGCCTCCAGCCAAATGCCCCTTCCATTCCCCCCCAGCCAGCCCCACCCCTGATCAGCCCCTCCCCGCAGCCAGCTTGCCCCTGATCAGCCCTGACTGGGGTGGGTCGGCCAGCCAACCTCCCATCATATTCTCCTCCCAACAGGCCCAGCCCCCATCTGCCCCGATTAGGGCCGGGCAGGCCAGACCCCACCCATGCACGAATTCGTGCACTAGGCAGGCCTCTAGTTAAATTATAAACAATAAAACTGACCAGGAAAAACTTTCATCTAGGGAAAGCTAACTGAGGAAGGTAAAAAGGCAAATGACAGCTGCCATAAATCCTTTGAGGAATGAGATAGGTTTTTATTTCAATAAAAAAAATAGAAAATTTTAAAAAAAGAAAATAGGAAAGGTGGAGACTTTTCCCTTTAACAGGGCATGTCAACAATGTTATTTTTCTACTTAACTATCATTTGGCTTAAAAATAAAATGGTGAGAGTAGAAGTAAACTTTTCCTAAGTTAAAGACAGCAGAGAGAAAACAGAAATGAGGAATGAAGGTGGAAAGAATATACTCTTTGGGTATAATTAATTGGAAAACTGTGAAAAGGCCAGGGAACACCAAGCATGCTGAATTCCTTTTAACTGGGGGGTCAGATGGGGCAGAATGGCAGATCAGAATTAACTTGGGTAGTATGGCTGCTGTCTGGATTATTGTGATGGGATGGGATGGGGAATGCAGAAAGACTACTAGTATTATGGGATCTGAGAACTAGGTAAGTGAGGCACAAGAACGGAAGACTGTGTAACTGGATGTCATTATTGCAAGACATTTGTCATCTGTGTTTGTGTATTTACTAAACTGCAACATTAATTTTTTGTATAAGAGAATTTTTAAAATATTAGGAAGATTTTATCTTTTGGTTTTATTTTGGTTTATTAAATTTTAATTAATCCAATGCCCAGAAATAAACTTCTGAACTAGCTGATGGACACAGGAAGGAGTCAGTAAATATTAATCAGAGAATAGATTTCTAACTTCAATATAATTCTGTCTAACCCACTGACCTGCTTGGGAATGTCTATGGCCTTCTAACTTTATATACATATTTTTGCCTTCTTTCCTTTCTTTATATTACATATTCCCAAATTGAGATAGTGATGGAATATTTCATTTACATTTGAAAATGCATATTTAACCATTCTGTATTTGGAAAGCAAACAAAAAGTTTATTACATACATAACACAAATTATAGAAAGACTGATAAAATGTTTTGACTGTAAGATACATATAAAGAATACAATATGACCTTGACAAAAGGCATTCCTATACCCTGCCATGGGGTATGGTTGTCCATAGTTTTTAGATTGATTAAAAGGGGACACAGGTTTTAACAAGTTCAGAATCACTGCTCTGGGATTGGTATTTGAGGCAAGGTACTTTAACTACTTGGTAGTAAAAGAGAAACTCACACTGCTTGTTTCATTTATCATCTTTGGTCAATAAAACCAAATGGAATTAAAATAATATGTCCCTTTCTAATAAGAGATGATCTCAGAGTGTCACAGTATACAATGTGATTAATGTAAGGAGAAGAAAAGTTACAAAATTTTAAAAGTTAGTCAGAGATGGTAACAATTTACCTTAACTTGGGTCTAATATTAAAATCAAACAAATACTGCAAGAACTTTAAGTCAGGTCATTAACTAAACACAGACAATAGCTTTGCTGACTGATCAACTTGATTTAAAATGTAGATAATATAATGCTATTTTTCTTGGCCTATACAAAGGCAATTCCTAAAGAAGAAAGAGACTATCTTGTTGTAAGCACCTGTATATACAGGTAGGTATCTCTGTAATGCAAAATTAAAATCTCAAATGTATTGTTTAATTACAACAGTACTTAAAATTATAGTGAACTAAAGTTTAAAAGTGAATTAAAAAATAAGGAAAACAGCAAGTTCCCCTATTTTCAAACATGTAAGACAGAATATGGATGTAATAAAAATTAGAAGACTCTTACAATCTTTGTCAGCACTGATCAATATAGAATCAAAGATAAAGACGGTAGGTAGAAGGACTAATAAAAGGTCATTTGTGGAACAGAGCTATAACTGTTTCTCTAATAAAATATATTTAATAAGCTTTATGTATATAAATTTAGCCCTTACTTTTCTTTATAAACAGGTATATAAATAAGGATAAATAAATTGTTCTCAAAATTAGAATTCTATTTTCAGGGATAAAAAATATTTTCTAAGATAATCCCAATGTGTTTGTGAATTTAATAATTCAAACATTTACTGAAAATCACTTTAAAAAAGAGGAAGTAATTTTTAAATGAATGTATTATAAAGTTTAACATAGAATAGAGTATGAATTTCAAGCATACACCATGGAACCAAAGGCATACAATATGGATTAAATTTGAAGTTTACCTTTCAATACTTTCTCATCCAATGTCCACAGCAGCTGCAGATTGCCAGCTCCCTTTCCATAAGATGTCCCAAATGTCAAACAGTGGAGGTTTTCTAACCTCAGGAATTACTATAAAAAAGGAGTTGGTCTATGGTCACAAGGCAAGTCCTTTATTATATTATGCAGTTTTGTAAGTTTTTGAATGTGACACATTAATAACCTAAGGAACCATATGGAAAAAGAAACTAAAAAATTCACAAAACTGCACAATACTGTAAAATGAAAAGCTGAGTCTGTGTGTGTGAAATGAGTGGGAAGGGAAACTTACCTTACAACTAAAGAACAACTCCATTCTGCTGCAGTAATCTGAAATGGGCATGACAGCACCAGCATAATGCTGGCTGGGGTGTTGCAAAGAGAGGGAGTTGGCAATCTACTGATGTTGGGGACATTAGACACCTAAAAGGAAGAAAAAGAGGAAAACAAATTCCAGATTTATCAACTGTCTCATCACCACGGACATATTTTGCACATTTTAATAAATTTAGACGGTTTGAATGTTAAATTTAGGTGAAAATAATTTGTTTAAATAATATATCATACTTTACAAATAAAATGCAAACAACTTTCAGAAAAGCCAAATGGATTCATACACAAAGATGTCTCATTTAAAATCACTAGCAATATCCAAAGGAAGGTTGCAAATATTTTAATTTCAGATGTGTAATAACAGCACAAATCAAATC